TAATATTGTTCAAAATCTTTATAATAATTTCTTCCCAAAATTAATAGTAAGTTCGTAATAGAAATTCTATTATGAATCAAAATGACCTTGCATTCTCCCGCTCCTGTCGAAAACCATTCATCTTCCAATGTTGATGCAATATTGCTGTAATGATCTGTGCCGTATGGTTTATGGTGGAATATATTTTGGCAAAACCAAGCAGAATTTCTAGAATTCGATATTTTAGAATGTTTAACAGATTTTACTATTTAACTTTACTATTTAACTATTAGATAATTAATTTACTATTAGGTTAATATTTTCCAATTGGATCTACAAGATATCTAGTTAAAAGAAACGTGCAACCAGAATTTCGATTAATGTTAATCGTAACGCATTCTAACAATTTTATGTCATTAACAAGAAATTCTGATATATTTAACAGGATGGAATTAATCATATTCATCATAAAAATCTTACAAGAATTCTGATTCATCCATTTTCGAACTGACATACTGGTTGAATCTATCAGATTTCCAGTTAATGCAATTAAAATCATTTTCCATTGTAAAAATAATTAATTGAGATCGACCGACTAGCACTAGTCAATCGACGATGTATTGGTTTGGCCAATAATTTCTCAAATTTTTGGTTGGGGAAGGCAATTGTTCTATTCAATATTGTTGCAATTATATTTACCCCTATGTAAAAACAAAGCATGTCAAAGAAGTTTGATGACGCCTATCATAAAAGTTGAGTCCTTTTCAAAATATTTCATACATTGGATTCGTCAGCAAATTTTTAACATAGTAAAAAAAAAACACGTTTTTAAGGCAGTTTAACTACATTTCTCTCCTAAATTTGACGTGATACAGTATTTTTTGCGGATTTTAATTTGGCGTACAAAAAAAAACAAAAAACTTAGCCTTGTGTTTTAAATCACAAAAACAGATCTGTGTTATTTTTCGAAGTAGTCATCATTATCATGCACTTTTGTCTTTTAATTATAGGTTGCTATTCGTATTCGACCCTTGGCTCCAAATGAAAGTGGTACCAGATGTTTGCACGCTATTAATAATAAGGTAAATTCGCAATGTCAATTTCATCATTTATTTCATAATTTATTTATTCACTGATCTCCATTCACTGAATTTGAACAAAAGTAGATATATTTACTTTTATTAATTTAGTTCAAATTTATATAACTTGTGAAAATATCTCGCCTATAAATTCGCAGATGGTGATGCTGGAGGATCAAGATAACGATAAGCAGAAACGTGCAATGCCGCGACAATATCTTTATGATATGGTTTTTGGAGAATCTTCAACACAAGTAAATTAATTATTCATTTAAAATCAATTGTTAAAAAACAATTTTCTGTTATATAGAGATTTAAACAACAATTTATTTAAAATGTATTGTTATATTATAGGAAGAGGTCTACGAAGGTACAACGAAAAATTTAGTGCAGGATGTTCTTAATGGTTATAATGCGACCGTATTTGCATATGGTGCAACAGGCTCGGGAAAAACACACACAATGGTTGGAACATCATCAAATCCTGGAATTATGGTGCGTGCCCTAAATGACATATTCCTGGCGGCCAAAAAATTGTCGGACAACACGGAATTTACTGTAAGTTCCTTGAAAAGAAATAGTTCTTTTCAATTATTTCTTTTCGATTTAGTTTCCTGTTTATAACAGAATCTGTCGAACGCAGATTCTGTTACATTTCTCTATTTCTGTCGACAATCGTGTCAAACTGTATATTAAAGTTTACTTGTGATTTTTAATTAATTGTCATTATATTATATTAGATTTCTACCAGATTTATTGACATTTTTGTATTAAATCTGCAACTTTTCTAAATAATAAAGGCCGGGCATAGCGGAATAAGCATATAAAATCTGCCCCCGCACCAATCGAGCTCAAATTGGTCATTAGTTGACACCCCTGGGATGTAAAACTTCCCCAAAAATTAGCCTTAAAATTGCATTTTTTTGGGAGTTATGGAGAGGGAAAGCAAAATAAAAAATATGTGATTTTTCTCGAAAACAGCTGGATCGATTTTAATGAAAAAAATATATGTTGTAAACATTGTTTAGATAAGTTTAAGAAATTTTTTGTAATTTTTATGATAAAAATATAACCGATAAAAAATTTTTGTATTTCTTATGAATTTTTTTTCTTTATGTTTTTGAGTGACCACTTTTATATTTTTGCAAAAACGTCTCTAGATTCTCTACTTTTTACATATATTTTTTTCAAATCGATCGGAGTGGTGAAACATTGTTAAAAATAACGATTATTCGCGCAACGCTGCGCTACGCCGCGCGCTACATTCGGCGCGCTGCGGCGCACGACAGTCGTTGCCATGGGACTTATAATATATTAGCCTTATTGCAGTGTTGCAATGTTTAATTGCCAAGAAAATTCATAGAAATAAGGATTTTATTATTGCCTACACATATTTATGTAGTCAATATTATGGTATAATAATATGTATATAGTAATATATAGTATTTCCATTAAAGACGTCTGCAGTTAGCCTATAAACTTATAGTTTCCGGAGTTTACCACGAGGAAGTACGTTTTTGCAGTACGTTTTCAAACTCCATATTTTCGGGGTGCTTTTTTAACATGAGTCCCCTCGCCTCTCACGTTATCTATATTTATTATAGTGAAGACGATTAAAGACGTTCTCTTCAATTATTGTGAGAGGCGAGGGGACTCATGTTAAAAAAATACCCAATAATAAATATAGATAACGTGAGAGGCGAGAGGACTCCCGTTAACAAAGCACTCATAGTATTTCCCAAGGTTGGCAAATAACGCGTTACTTGTAACGTCGTTACCGTTACAAGTTACCGTTACAATTACTTTTTTTCAGTAACGAATGGGTAACGACGTTACATTTCCTTATAAGTAATGTTAATGGTAATACAGTTACATTTTTTGGATAACGGTAAC